AATGTTTGTTAAGGAAGTGAGCACAACATTAATTTATACAACAATGAAAGCGGGACGCCTAATACATTTCAAGACGGGCTGATTTTGTTTTCGTTCGCATGGTTTGGTTAGCTTATTTGATCCTTACTGCAACGCAACAAGTACAGTTCGCACAATGACAACGAGTGTTGACAGAAACAAACAGCTACGTGATTCAGAAATGCAGAACAATGAACTCATTCCACTCCGCTCAGCCGACTCTTAGAACTTGAATATTTATGAAGATACCATACGATATTATGAATATTCACAAGCTTACCTTCAAAAGATCGCTACATGTTTCCCGCGCTTCCGCTCTCTCCGCCATGTTGTTCCAAAAACAACACGAGCTTGCGCTAATTCAAACTCGTTCCCAGGCACAAAAAGTGGCAGTAAAAGTGGCAGTAAAAGTGGCAGTAAAAGTGGCAGTAAAAGTGGCAGTAAAAGTGGCAGTAAAAGTGGCAGTAAAAGTGGCAGTAAAAATGGCAGTAAAAGTGGCAGTAAAAGTGGCACTAAAAGTGGCACTAAAATAAAAAAGATGTGTGTCCCTTATAGGGCTCCGTATTAAGGATTCAAATGCCGCAAACTCTGTGCCATCTGCATAATGCAAGACAACTTACATCAATAATTTGTTTACTTTAAATGGCGAAGATGTATTGCGAGCCCGGACTTGAAAGCGAGGAAAAAATAAACGCGTGCGTTTAAAGAATGTAAACCTTCAAATCATCATAATTTGTGCTACATGTACAACTTTGCCTCGAAGATAGTTTTGGAATCACCTTAAATAATTCAGCTACGCTAAATATTGTTTGACGTCTAATTTCAGAGATAAAGGATCCAGGAAATGAATAAATGAAACAACAAAAAAAACAAAACAAAAAATAAAACAAAACAAAAAGAAACAAAAAACCAAAAACAATGAACAAGGCTCAAGAGCAGAGAGGAATTTGGCTTTCAGTGTGTGTTCGGAACCGTTAGATACTCTTGGTCGAGTGGGATTGAAGCGAGTGACTCCATCGCATGCGGAAACGAGGTTAGAAAACACTGGCAAAAATCTATGCATGCAAACAAGATGGCGGGTGCCGAACCAGAGAAAAAGTCCTATGTAGACTTACGAGAAAAGCTTAACAAGAATTCATCTGCCAACAAAAAACACCTCTGGGAAAATAGAAAGCGGAAACATGACCAAAGTTTTGGTTTACATCGCCATCATTCAACACATGACAGAGAAATTGAACTGCAGAAAGTTCATCAGGGAATTCGTCAGCGAATTTTATTCGACAAAGAGGAATGCGACAAAATTGAACAAAAAATCGACGAAATAGTTCATTCTGCAGATGAAGGGAATTATAAAAGCAGGACAGTTGATAGAGCACCATTACGTGTTAAATATTTCTTTGGAGAGGGCTACACGTATGGAAAACAGCTCGCAGAACGAGGACCCGGCCGGGAAAGACTTTTTCCTCGGGGAGAAGTCGACGAAATTCCGCAGTGGATTTACGATTTGGTTGTTTTGCGGCTGGAGAAGGCCGGAATCGTACCTAAAGGCTTTGTGAACAGTGCTGTGATTAATGACTATCAACCTGGAGGTTGTATAGTTTCGCACATCGATCCACCACACATTTTTGACCGTCCGATTGTTTCGTGTTCCTTTTTCAGCGAATCCTCGCTCAGTTTTGGCTGCAAATTCAGTTTCAAACCTATTCGCACATCAACGCCAGTCTTGACACTTCCACTACCTCGAGGCTGCGTGACAACTTTAAGGTGAGCTTGCTATGTTCATATTTTTCTTGTTTTTCTTTCGCAGAACAAGTGACTCATCCCTCTCAATAGTGTACTGCTGCGGCATTTAAAATTACATTACCAGTGGATTGCGGAATTGAAAATCGGATCCTTCAAAACAAAGAGGCATTCTTCTCTGAGAGTGACTGGCATTTGATTTTCCACTTACTGGACGTTTCTTTCCATTGTTGTGATAACATTTATCAGAGAACTGATATTACATCATATTCATTGTCATGAATGAATATCAAATTGAATTGGTTATCTTTATTTCCTGTTAGTACTAAGGCACTAGGAATATATGTGTAAATATGTCAATTTTTATTTGAAAAGATAAGGGTAGTATGTTAAAGGAAAGTCACAGTGCAAGATATTAGATGTCACCCATACTTTCATATTCTAGGAATTTTTTGCTTCTTACCCAAATTTTCACACATGATTTAGAATCCATGAGTAACTTGTTCAATGTTCATCACATTGACTCCAGTCAAGACTTTTATTGTCTGAGCTCAGTATTAATGAAATTGACACATTCCATACTTTTTTTTTCTCTGTTTCAAACAGTGGTTATGCAGCTGATGACATTACACATTGTATCAGACCTCAAGATGTAAAAGCAAGAAGAGCTGTGATAATTGTAAGGAGGTAAGGAGTGATCTACTTGTGAGCACCTAGGCTTTACAACACTGCAACTGTCTATTGCTCTCTTGCTTAGGTAAATGTACCCTGCCAGAAGAGATGTTTTGATGTATTCCCTTTGTTTTCAAGAAATAGTGCAAAGAAAAAATGTCTACTTTCCCAGCATTGCCCTTTAGGATCCTACATTTGGTTGCAACCAAACAAAGTCCAAACAAGTGGTCAATGATTCTCTTCTTAAAAATATATTGTTAGGAAAAGTTTAGTAAGCACTTTCAAAAATGAACAGATAGTTTTGAGACCTATTTGCCTGGAACAGAATTAACTCATTATTCTGCCAGCAGGTTGGTTCTTAACCAGTTGACATGTCATTTAAATAAGATGGTATCCTATCGGATATGACAAGTGAGGTGCTAAATTTCATAGTCATCAGAATTGAACTAGTATGATAAAAACCAACCATAACTGGTTTAGATGTCTTTACTTTACTTCATATTCTGACCAGAACAGGAGGGGCTGTGGAGGCAGTAAAGTCCCAACAAATGTTTCTGGGAGTATAGATTTCTTTAACCCCATAGGCTTGCAATGTTTAAGGAGGCAGTGTGGCCGAGTGGTTAGAGTGTCAGACTCGTAATCCGCCGCTCCCGGGTTTGAGTCCCACCCTCATCACTGGATTTATTTCACAGTAGCCCCGAGTTCACATCCTTGGCCACGCTTGTAAATAGCCAACTATTATTCTGCTTATGACCTCAGGGACTCTGAAAATAAGCTTAATGTTCCACTACCGCGCACTAATTATTACAGAAAAAGCTTTAGCTACAATGGCGCCACATTATGGAACAGTTTACCACGCGATATAAGGAACACAGAGTCTCTGGGGTTATTTAAACGTAAGATCAATGACATTTTTAAAATCTAACGCACTGCATTCCCGGAAAACAGCTTTAGTGTTATAGTATGTAGTTTTAATTTTAAATATCTTAGCGTATGTGATATGTATTTTTATAGGCTGATGAATTGATCGTGTCTAAATAAAGATTACAATACAATACAATACTAGTTTGCCTCCGGCCGGTTGGGGTTCTTAATGATGTTCTTAATGATGTTATGTTCAATTTAGAACATTTGTTTCATTTGTTTGCAAGGACCACAATGGAAACTACTGGTTGACCAGTAATTGTGTAATCCTATTAAAAGACTTTTTTTTTTTTTTTTGTTAATGTTGTTTTAGAAATCTTAATTTGTCTAGTTTCAATTTGATTTCAGAGTATATCCAGATGCTCCAAGACTTGAACCATTAATGAATGGCAGCAAGGATCAAGACGGGGAAAGTAACCGAGAGAGTGATGATGATGAAGATGAAGAAAATGATGAAGAGCCCCCATCGCCTAAGAAGAAACGCGTAGTGTTGAAAAGGAACTTCAGACGTCCCAGCCAAGAATCAAATAATACTGCTGATCAGCAAGGAGACTGATAATTTGATGAGGTGATGACAGTCAAGCAGAGAATATAGTGTTGATACAAGACATCAGAAATAGCTTCAGTGAAGGTTCTGTTGTACAAACATCATTCTGGCTGGGCTAGAGCTCAGTCCTGCTCATGAATCCAAGACAGGCTTGTGTAGTTTAACCTTGTACATGATATGACTTAGTCATAAATGATAGTTACAATCTACAAGTTAGATGATGTTTTGCTTTTTCCTTTTGTTAGTCATGTTACACTCAATTTTTCTTATAATGTTACGTAGACTTTGATTTTAATGTCTAGTTTTTAGTCAAGGTCTTTTCAATTGCTGTCAAGCCGTCAAACTTTCTGATCTGTCAGCAGCGTGCAAATGTTCAATTTTGAAACTTGTCATTAGCTTATTATATTAATGACTTTTCATTTTAAAAAAAAATTGGCTTTGAAAGTGACCAAAATGGTTTCAATTTCTTAGTTCGATCTGTGGTTTGAAAGAAATAACATTTGATAATTTGAGATGCTAATCCAATCCATTATTTAAGCTCTGCAATTTGATATTTTATGGACAGATACTGTTCACTTTTACTCCCCTGGTGATGCTGAATAATGAGGGCAGAATTAGGGATTTCAGTTGAGAATTCATGAGGTTCAAAATTTCATAGATATGCATTAACTGCTGTCACCACTTTATGATTACTAATTTTTTTCTTTTTGGTGAAAAAAGCATTGATGATATAAGCACTTATTGTTCAGATCCTGTCAAGAAAAGATTTTATCAGAAAATGATTTTTAAACCACAGACTGGAACTGGAGACAATCATGTAAAAAAAAAAACCACAAACTAGTGGTTCTTCAATCACTATGTAGATTAGTGGTTGAAGGAAAAAACACTGAGATAGAAGTTAAAGTACATGTACATTGCCATTTCAGCCTTCCTTTTCAAGTTGTTTAGACACTATATATTATATAAGAAGATTTACCCAAAGGTACATGAAGGTAGCATGCGGCACTTCCAGAGAACGAGGTTTACATGGCAATTCCCTGTTGAGACATCTGAAGGAAGGTGCAATTGAGAATGTTGTGTTCTTTGTAACTGATTCTTTCAATTCCTATTTTCTAAGTTTTAAGCTGCAAATTGTAACACAGCATTTACAAGAACTTCGATTTCTGATATTTTGCTACTTTTAAATTGAGCAATGTTTGTGTTACTGTAAAATTGGTTTTAAAACTCATCTGAAGTACAGACAGGAATGGAAACTGTGGTATCATTGAGTGTTTGTACATGACAATGTACACCATAAGTTTTTTTCTAGAATCACAGACTAGATTTTGAACTATTCTTCTTTTTTGCTGTGAAATCAATTTTCTCAAATATTGTGCACTTGAGCATTCTGTGATAAAATTGGACAGAAGCAGTGAAAAAAATGATAAAAAGATGAAGTTTAGTTTGAGCAGAAGCTGTGTAATGTAGGTCAAAAAATGCAGTCAGTATTTTACTCTGGGACAACTTTTGATGCACATGCATCAGAATGCCGTTTTCAGTGAAAATGGAAACCAAATCATACAGGGTTGTGCTTGCTTTCTGAAGTAGAGTAACATAGGAACAATTTAAATCACGACAGTTTCTTTTGACAAGTTCAAGCTTTGTTTTGCCAAACCAGAACTGTTCACTTGCAAATTTATTTTTATGAGTTTTTATTTAAATCAAAACCTTTCAGCTGTACAGGCTTTCCTTAATAGATAGGACATGTTTGTCCTGGGGCAGTAGGTTCTGGGGAAATTTTGTTTTTGGCCAGGTGATGATTTCAAATTTTGTGCTAGTCAGTGGAAACTTTACTGTACTGTGTTTCTGTGGCAATTCAAATGAAATCAATTTGTTACTAAAAAACATACTTTTACAAGGTGTTTGAAACCGAGCTCATTTTGTGTTAACCAAGGTAAAAGCCTCCGAAGGAAGAGAAACACAGTGGCCCGACGGACCTCACTTTCGTGCAAACTTGTTACCAGGCTTCCTAAGCAAATTTTCATTATGCATCGTGTGTATGATATGTCAGTGAGCAAAAGAGATGTGACCATTCAAGGGAACACTATTGACCCCTTACCATCTACTGAGTGATCAGACAGAATTTCTCCTTATAATAACAGGTCCTTATGACACAGACAAGTAATTTTTTTATTATGGGAAATAGGAGGGAAAATTTAATTGTAAATACTTGAAGTGTTTGTGTTTTACTAGGACCAACTTGTTTGAGAACAAAAAGAGAGTTTGTCCACCCATCAGTAAGAGTAATTAGTGTTGCAAAGAAAAGTTATTTACGTGTCTATATTCTACGCTGTAAATATTCTTGATGTATACTTGCAATACACGAATAGAATAGTTAAAGGAAATGTTTATACTTGCGTAAATGTGATAACTTGTGCAACCTGTATCTAGTCAGAGTATAATATTGGGTTAGAAAGACTTCCTGGATGAGTGCTCGGAAGATTGTTAAATGCACCCAGCTGTTACAGTTACCTGTGTGGATGTATGACTAAGGCATACTTTAATTTGTAGTTTCGTTTGAAACCCACCTATCACTAGTTTTTGATTTATGTGCTAGTATACAGTAACGTTCGTGTGTATCTCAGCATCACACTCGCGCGCAAATCTCATGCACTGCGCGCGCGAAACGTGTACGTGCGCGAAACGTGCACGTTGCGCGCCATTACGTGCACAAATGTACTTTCTTACCTTCCCTCACCTCTTTTCCCCGCTAAACTGTCAACCTTCCTTCCTTCCTCCCCCTTCCTTTCCTTCTCTTCCTCTCCCCTGTTTTATTTATTTATTTTTTTTCTAAATTTTCATGAGTAGAAAAGTCAATGTGGGAATGAAGGGTTTTGATATAGAAGGCAATTTAACGGACTACACAATGGAAGCTCGAACCTCCAATTCGCATCTCGATAGCGATCGCGTGATACTGGGTGATAATTGCTGAAAGTTGAGGAACTCGTTATTACCTAAGGATGTGGAACAGATCAGGTCAAACATAAATTAATGACCTCTGAAAACTGTTAGGAGGAAACTCGATTCAAGTTTCTTCCAAAGGTAAGAAGATGAGCCCAAAACTAAAAAAAAAAATTTTCCGAAATGCTTCACTGAGGCACTGAAAGACGTTGCCGCAGGCACTTTTTGGAACTTGCAGAGGTAGTAAAAAAACCCTTTCACCTTTCAACTTTTATTGAAGGACCCCGGGCAAGAGATTATAATCTCTGCCCCAATGTTGTTGATGGTCGGAGTAATATTTATCATGTTGCATGTACAGACTGATAGTAACTATAACGTCGGCAGCGGTGGTCTTCCGTCCTTTCTTAACTAGCGGTGCCATTTCCACTGGATGAAGAAGTTCCGTTGGGATGTGCTTATAAATAGCCAAATCTTATTTAACCCGCCACTGAAGAGACTGGGTAAGTTCCGTTTCGCGTTATAGTTAACGACCTTTCTAAAGTGGGAAAGATATATTTGCAGGACCGTCATTTCCTTTGTAGGTTCCATTGCAATATGCAAAGAGAGCAAAACAAAAACCTTCAAATCCTTTGATTAAAGGCATTTCGCAGATAGGCCAAGATCTTTGTAAATACGTTACCTGAACCATTCAAATTTATCAAATCTAGAGAGTTTGAAAAACCTTAATCACAGATTATTACAATTTGGTGTGATTAAGATCAGATCAGAGGCGTATTCAAACGTAATCTGACATGGTCTAATATGTAATATCTTGTTAAAACCGGCTCTGAGTCGCTTTTGTGGTACCAAATAAACACTCCTTGTTTCTTTTTTCACAAAGTTAAAAGTTGAACAGTGGTAGCAATTCATGATAGAATTAGAATGTCTAGTTTCTGTAAATAATATTTTTTGTTGGCTCACGATCAAGATCCTAACCAGGAATACTTCAGCACGTGCACTGTATCATACATACAGCTTATGGCGAGACGCTCTTGGAATAATAAGAGGTTCATATGGGTTTACTATAATAGTGTTTGCCGTTTCTAAGCAGCCATGCCTTGGTGTTTGCGCAGATAGTCCCTTTGCAGTTAGAGTAAGCAGATTAACCCTTAATGTATTGCACTTTTAGCTTAATTAACCCAATCTAATTTCCATTTCCAATGGTGAAATAAATCCTCGAAAGAGGTATCTGTAGCACATTGGTGTATTGGCTTGCAGTAAGGCTTTATGGTGATATATATAGGATAAAATGCCAATACCGACGTTTCACGGGTGGGATTTAATGAATGAAATTATAGGATTGGCGAGCTTCATATAATCTTGTAATATTCAATACCTTGTTAACCTTTATTAGACCTTCATTGAAAACAAGCTTAATTTGGTAGAAAACAAGACTGAGAAAATAGCACGAAATTTGTGCGTCAGAATTGCAGTTGTACTTCCTACTCCCGGGATCACCCGTCACCAGGTGATCGTCGACACGAAGTCTGCCTGCCTCCCCTCCCCCCTTTCGGATCCCCCACTCCTGCGCTTTCTGTTTTAAGGTACACCGTCAATTGAGCCTTTATGCGAGAAGACCTCAGAGTGCAAATTTGAGAATCGTTTATCGGTTTAGAAGTATCGGCGGGCTACATCAGTGACCCTCAGACGACAATCACAGCCCAAAACTCTTAATCTTTTTAGTTGTATCTTGTAAACAATTCAGCCAAGCCACCATGCCTACTTAAATACGGAATGCGTAACCAAGGAGCAAATAATCGGACCAATTAACCACTTGAAATGAAACACTGTGGAAAACATCCCAGTATAACTGGTTACCTTACCCAAATGTGCTGCATCACTTTTGATATGAAAACCATCGGTTTTTTTTTTTCCTGGTTTTGATTAGGAAACAAGGACGTGTTAGCTCTAGCCATGGGCACTAGTTTTTTTCTTCTTCAAATGTTGTTTACATGCTATAAATAACTGAACGATTTCCTAACGCAAATATTTTAGATACATTGATTAATGCTAATTAAAATCTCAGGTGAGAAATTCAATTAATGAAAAACACAACAACAACAGTTGTTTGTCATTTATTTTCGAATTTTGGGCTTATTCCACACTAGACTAACGTCGCAGCAGTCTGATCAAGCCTCAATAGCGTTTAAATTACCTGAGCTCGAAGCCACGCGGGAACTTGACCCGCGCTTTTTTTATTTCTATCACACGTAGTGCTACTTTAGGTAGTGCGTCCTAACGACCTAGCTGCATGAATAAAGGTGATGTGAACCTATTTAGGCCAGAGCAGGAGCCCATTACCAGAGGCAACACTTGGAATTTTTACATGCTCCCTGAATATTTGATAATATGCACCATGTTTCCCCCAAGAACATCATGTTCCATCATGGACCAGATGGATCGTGATCGAGGTTTAAGAGCCAACGAGATCTTCTATCTGTGGGATCTTGTCTGCTCAATAGTAACTCACACTCATCCATCGCAACCATTCCTTTGAGAAACCCAGGGCTATAGCCTGGGTACTAGTTTATGATATTGTTGACAGACTTTGTGAGCGTTATATTTTTAAGTTTAAGACTACAACACAATTCACGGAATGGTGGAATTGAACATCTGATTCAAATGACAATGCATATCACGCTTCTGGCTCGTGTGAAACGATCTATACAAATTGCAACAACTTTCTCCATTGAACACTTACGGTGTTACAGTTCTGCAACAAATCAAAAGGATAAAAGAAGCCGGCACTAAAGGAAAGTTTTCACGTGGATCTGTATAATGCCTGGATACGAAGGAAAGGTAGGTCGCCTAACTGTAAATATGTTAATGGTTTTGTTTAGAAAATGACAACTCCCAATAATTCCTTGATCGTGGTACTTTTCTCACATTTGATATTTTTTCTCAAACTACGAACTTAGCGCGAGATAAAATCCTTCATTTTGGGTTAGAAAAAACCGATTAGTTCGGCCTATGTTTGTCTGTTTCGACGAGGTTGCTTGGTAATGTTGGTCACTTAAGCAAGTACTTGATAACACAGGCCGGCAGACCAAATGCCGCCGAATGCAGTTTTTTCAGTGTTATTCTAGAGTTTACATTAGCTGCTGTACTTAGTTTTTCTTTTTTTCTTTTTTTCTTTTTTAAATCTTTAGCAATAAAAGCGTTTGTTAAATGCGAAATTTTGAGGAGGAAAATTTAGTCTTTCCATAACACATTTTCCCACGCTTCGATACAGTTTGATTTTTCCGCCAGCCATGCATATTTTGAAAGGATGGGTGGGGAAGAGGGGAAGATATGGGGGGGGGGGAGATGGGAAGGGATGGGGGGGGAAGTTGCAAACCAGTCTAGACTTTTCAACTTTTAATTAAGTCTCGAAGGATCTTAAACCACTGGTAAGGTCTATATTCAAATGACGTATTTGTTTTTTTATAATCAATCGTTTAACAAACAGCCGTGAACAAATAACCATTCTTCTTTTGCTTGTGTGCTCATTTGTTTACTTTTAAGGACAATTTGGTTTCGGAAAAACTGAACGTCAGAAAGGTTTTCCTTTCTATTTTTAGTCACGCTATCGTTACATTAGAGACAAATTGGGATAAAATAATTGTAATACTGTAGATGATCATGAACTGTACCCTTTTCATGGTTCATCTGATTTTGAATGCTTGAATAGGTAGCTGCAACGTCTGCACGCTGATAAAAGTCATCAAAGTCAGTTTATTGACATGCGTGACCGGTTCAAAATTAACCGCTCGGAGAACTTTCTAAGAAATTCACAATTTACTTGAATTTGTCATGTAGGCTCTAAACAAAACTAAAATTCCAATTTCTCCTTATTTGTGTAGCAACTCACAAAACATTGGAAGCATTTGAAAAATTCCTTACGTATAGGTCTCCTTGATCAGGGGTTGATAAAGACAAGGGTAGCCCTTCAGTTTTCCTTTTGACTCTGCTCGGTAGATATCTGTATCGGTCCGCGGTTTGACAGAATTCACTGACGTGCCTATCGCACAGTCGGTTTGAATACTTTTGCTGTATATTAGCCTTTCTTTTTAATATATAAGCGATCAATGGTCAAATATATTGCGTGAAGTGTTTTTGTGGAAATAGTTTTGGTTGTGAAGTAAGGGTTTAACAAATTCTGAGCGCGTGCTTATCGTCAGAGGGTGGAAGTTTGCCCTTTTACAGGGTTAAAATGATTCGGAAAAAGAGGGTCAGTTTTAGAGACGACCTGGTTGAAAGTATTCCTAATTCATTTCGCCCAGGATTAGAGACTAATCGAGAAGTTTTGGCCTTCCACGGAATCGTAGAGGTATTTCCTTTTCTTATTCAACTTAAATAACACGGTGAAATAACTTCTAACCACAACGATGGCCTATCTATTCATCGTGAACGTTCGTATGGGAGTGGTTTTCTTTTTTTGTTGACGTTCTTTCTGTCTCAGCGAACTTTTTATTTATGCTGCACATAAACCTTTGTCGGCGAATCACGAATGAGTAGTGAACCGACAAATTAGCAAGCTAATTGTAATTTTCTGTCATGTGACGAAGTTTCACGCAAATTGTTCCTGAAAGCTGTTTTCATGAAACAACAGAAACAAGTCCCGAATAACCCAAAAATTCCGTACAACCAAACACAGGAAACAAACTTTTCAAAGCAAGTAGATTGTTGAATTCTCTCACGAAAATGAATTAACCGGCTGAGCGATCAGCTTAGCGTTACTGTTTGGTCTTTTCTTTGTGCTTTTTTAAACAATGTTGTTGCGCTAGAAACCGCCAAAACATATGATCTTTCTCGCGTAATCTGTGTTTGCTGGAGTGTAAGAGATTTTCCTCCCTTGCGCAATCCAAAAATCACATTCTTGAAAATTATTCTCGAAATTTGTTTGATATTCATTCAACATCTCGTCGCCTCAGTCCTGTGTCATTCAAATATTATCATTGTGAAAACCATAGTGAGATTTAAGTCGTCAATATAACACTTAGTGCCGGTTAAAAGTTTGTTCAAATTTTAGTTTATGTCAACAGAAGAACTTCAACTTGAATTGTAGTTTGATGGGAGATTTCAGTCTTATTTTATGAGAAACTGTTTTTTTTTTTTGAAAACGAAAAGCTGTTTATCAGTTTTCTTTCTTTTCAAGTCAGGCCACCCGGGTTGTAAGCATGAATAACTTTATGTTAATAACATAAAAAGTTATTGCACCTTCCAGACAATACTAGATGCATCATGGAGATTGTGCCCTCGTCCGTGTATAACCGGAAAAAAAGGGGTTAAAAATAACGCGAGTTTCACTTTCTGTTTCCAGTTACGATCGAGAGCGGATGTTGTTATTAAAATGACGATTCGTCTGACATAGTTTGAAATTCAAGGTTGAATAGGATAAAAGGAAATTAAAGCTAACGTAATTATTTGATTTAACAACCATGACTCATACAAAAAGAATGTAAACTTGTGTCCATTTTTCACAGAACTCAGTTTTTTAGAGCAGTTCTAAGCTTGAAAACAACAACAAATAAAAAAAATCCAAATTGTCTCCAAACAAAATCTACTTACAAATGTAGAGAAAATCAGTCACATAAATTTTGTGGTGGCGGCGCATACGAAGAGTGGGTGGGGTGGTTACTAAGCGAGAGATATCTAGAGAGATTTGCAGTTTTGCAGATGATGAGAAGCTTTGAAACGGGAACACTCAATTTTCCGTCTGTACAGCTTTGAATTGGAGACTTTCACTTGCCTAGGGAGAACTTTGAGGTCACATTGATGTCGAGCGGACTGTCTGTGGTAGGTTCATCAGATTTAATGTTGTGGGACAAGCTCTCGATAAATTTTGTTTTCGTCCGGGCACATCGATCGCCTTTGCAACCAGGATGTATATGGTTTTCAAAGTCTATTTGTCTTTATTCGCCGGTGGTTTGTTTTAACTCCAAATCCTAGTTATATATTTCGTGTACAGTGTTCAATATATCGTCTTTTCGATTGCTTTAGCGTATATTTGCCCATGTACACAGGGCTTATAGATGTATACATTTCTTTTATGGAAGATGCTTTCAATTAGTATCTTTGGCTTGTTTGAAAACTAACAAATATATCAAGAACTCGATAAGTTTTGTTTTATTTTACCTTCGCAAGAGTACCAAACAAGAACGCTTGAAACGATGATTTCTGTTTACGACTACATCGTTCTTCGCCCCAAATTCATTGCAATGAAAATTTGACACCGCTATTCCGGAATTGCGCACTTCTCTTCATTACACTTGTAAGGAATGGTGCTCGCAGAAGTAATCTTGTTAAACTACTAGCACCCAATCTCTTGCTAAAGCATTCGTTGTCGTATCTTCTTGAACAATCTCTAGCTTTAATAAGTGGTAAGCCATTGTTTGTTTGCCGCAGGCAATTGTAAAGGTGCGAAATTAATAGTTTACGAACTCATTCACAACATCAGGATTCAGCAGTTCGCAAATTTATCGTCAACATTGGAGATATGTAAAGATTACCTTCACCAACCGGCAGAATTTAGAAAAGCAATTCCAGTTTTTTTTTTTTTATTGTGATGTTTCCATGCTTTCTATGCTTGTTGTTTTAAAGGAGCATTAACAGATGTGTGCTATTTTAAATTTGAATTGGAAATTAAATTTATTGAATCACATTGTTCCTTTCGCGACAGGTACCGTGAGATCGAAGAGCTTTTAAGTTTGTTTACAGTGCGGATTGACTGCAATCTGAGCTACAGTTCATACATATCATGACCTATTAAGTTATGCAAGGCTCTTCAGGAATGACTTGACGAAATCAATATTCCCTAATTTGTCTTTTTTCGTCACTCAGATGTCACTGACCTCTCGAATTTCTGCATTTTTATAGACTCAAACTAGACTCTATATATTTTTTGAAACAATCTGCATAATAATTTTTTTAACAATTTTATCTTAAGTTAAAGTAAGTCATTTCTCAAGTTTTCGTGAGATTGCATGAGGATATCTACATTATAAGTACAAGAATGCAAGTTGACCAGGAAAAGCTTCTTAAAGTTGTAGTTTTGTTTTTCAACCTCATTACAGCATATCTGTGTCTGTTGTTGAAAGCTGGAACTATTGTTGATGTTTTGTGTTATCTGTAATGGGTGTATAAGAAATTTTGGTGTCATTTGAGGCAGTTTATAGCCTCACAGGTCACAGGTGAAACTTGACACAAATTCACAAGTCCAGACCTGTTGCAGTTGATTGTGCTCAGCTATTTTATGTTGTAGACATAACAGATCTAGCTAGGGATTAGCCTGTTTAGAGTTTCAGTCTTTTTCTGGTTATCATACTCTGTATGCCCTATCATTTGATGCCTTAAGAGACATTATTTGATTTATTATTGTCCATTTCAAAGAATCTACTGTTTAATTTCTGTCAAATTTTGTGATCAAAGAATCTACAAAGGTTCTCTGTTATATTATAATTATGTGCACAAAGGAATGTTGATAAAAAAAAAGAAAGAATCATGTGCTGTCTGTGAGTGGTTTCTTACACTTCTCAAGAGTTACTATTCCCTATGTGCTCATAATTATAACTCAACAATGCGTCATGCACACATGAATTTTTATTTCTTGCTCTTGGAATCCAAAATGTTTAGTACATTCCATATACACATTCTTAGGCAGTGAAGGCTGTGTCCATCACACAACATGATTTTTCTACCCAGGTTTGAGAAAGCATGATTCTTACTGTGGCTAGTAGTTCTGCACAGTTTTAAATTTAGAGATTGTGATTCAATTTTATTCTTGGATCTAATTTGAATTATCTCCAGTTATTACCATGGTAGTGAATAATAATACCATTGATAAAAAGCACCAAATTGAACTATGTTATTATTACTATCTGAACAAGGTGTAAAACCCTTGACTTTTAAAAGGGATTGACTCAAAACATCTCCTCATGTTGATACATGATCCAGCAAAACAGTAACAAGAAAAGGCAAAGCTGATAATTAGTTAGCTAAAGATAACCTTCCAGTCGATAAATATCAAATGCTCTAGACTTGTTTACAAGGAATTTGTAACAGCTATATGGGAGAATTACACAACTTTTATTAGAAGGGATACATTTGTGTTTGAAATACACTCTTTCTAGACAGCATAAGGCCACTGTAAAGAGCAATTTTATCCATGCTGAGCTATTTTTTTCTGTTATGGCATTCTTAATACTTTCACTCATTCTTAATTAAGTTGCCAAGTATTAAACATTCTTATCAGCCCTTATTTTCTCGACTTGATAGTGATGTTGGTAAGTTGAAATATTGGTTTTCAAAATATTTCATGGCTGTATTTTAAGGTCAAATGTGCGAAGAAATTATTGCTTCTCAAATATTGTTTTGCATAAAGACAAGTTAGAATGAATGGTATTAATTTTAAAGGGCTGAAAGATGGACAACTGAAGTACAGCTCTCTTAATTCAGTGTTATTGTCTGTTTTCAAGGGATCCCTTGTTTGGTTTGATGGCAATGTGGGGTATTTGCTGCCAGGGAAGTTGTTGTCATTTGTTGGACAAGATGTCAAGGTGCAGCACCAAGAAGATGGACAGGTATTTGTACTTAAAGAACAAATAAATCTTGTGGCAGTTCGGTAAACTTTATATAAATTCTGTTGACTTGAAACAAAGAGTTTGTGGTTTGTATTGAGGATGAGTCATAGATCAATGAGCCCTAACCCTAACCCAATTTTTTTTTATTGGAGGTTTGTCCATGTTGTACACTGTATGTGTGTTTATACTAACTGATCGTTAGAGAAAACTAGAATTGTGTTTAAAAAGTAGGAGGTTATAATAACTAATTTTTAATACATGTGGTATCCTATTTTGCTGAGAAAGAGAGGCTTTACTTTTGTCTGCCTTAGCTATGTCACAGAGACCAGGATAACTTCTGGCTATTTCTAACAAGCTACATTTTGAAACCCTTAGGTCAAGATTAAAACTTTTGATTTTTTTTTGCTCTTAAATTTACAGGTTCACACAGTTCGTGGAAATGCTGTCATTCCAAGACAGGAGTTGGATCCACACGGGGTGGATGACATGATAAAAATGGAGTAAGTAAACGTGTACCTTCTCAAACAGATTAGAAACCTTGTACCCAAATGGTGTGAAACAGCGATAGCCTGGTTTTCAGAACCTCAGGGTTCAGCCTAGCTTAGATTTTTCTGTGCTCATGTTACTGCTACATGTATAATGTCAACCAGCTACGCAAAGTGTTCTGAGCTGGTGATTCTTCAAAAAATGAACCTCTTCCTAGTTACTAAGGGCAAAACTATTTTGTGGCTGTTCAAATGTCAGTTGAACATTATGCTGTAATACTTGCCATGAGATTATTTCTTTTGGGAGTGACTGGTTACTAATTGGCAGAAGTGAGCCCTTATGCTTGTAGAACCTAAAGCCATGTCTTACCGGAGGTATTATAATTATTTGTTTGTGGTTGAGTTGTAATACATGCCTGTTCAGTTTATGGTACTTGTAATATCAACTAATGAATATGGTGTCAATTTTTACAATCATTCTTACTAGTGACTTGCATGTCGGATCAATTTTGTACAACATTCGTAAAAGATACAGACAGGACCAGATTTATGTGAGTTTTATTTTTCCTCTTGTAAACATATTTAAGTGCTAAATATTCAGTATTACTCCCAAAGCATTGTAAGTTTTGAAAACTACTTAGTATAATAGCTTCAGATTATGCACATTAAATTGTGCACTATGTAATTGTTATCATTATACAGAAGTCAATAGTTTGGCCAGCCTGTGTTATGGTATTTAAGCCTCCTTATTGAATGTTTTCTTTACTCATTGTAGACTTACATTGGCAGTATATTAGTGGCAGTAAATCCATACATGCCTTATGATGTATATGGCCCTGACACAATACAGAAATACCATGGTGCACCAACAAATGCTCTTCCACCGTAAGTAAATAACAAACATTGAGAACATTTTCATTAAAAAAAATACTGCAGTAAATGGTTTGAACCCGGGGGTAACATGTGAAGGTGTAGTCTGATCGTCCGGGTGAGTGTAGTCCTGAGAAGGACTGTTGTCGGTGGCAGTGACTGACGTTTCGACAACCTGTGCGGAAGTCATCCTTGACTCTGATGATGACTTCCGCACAGGTTGTCGAAACGTCAGTCACTGCCACCGACAACAGACCTTCTCAGGACTACACTCACCCGGACGATCAGACTACACCTTCAAAAAAAATACTTTTAATATGCCTTTCATTTTTAGATACATTGTATGTCTTGTTTGTATACTTTAAATGCAAACCTCAAAGCTTACATTGTGAAGCAATAATACAATTTGTACTTTTCAGACACATCTTTGCAATTGGAAATGCAGCACATGAGACCATGTTACGGACTGAACGCAAACAAGCTGTTGTCATCAGTGGAGAGAGTGGTGCTGGTAAAACTGAATCCACAAGGTTACTTGTTGAGTTTTTGGCAGCTGTCAATCAAACAAATGGCAGTCTAGTCACAAAACAGGTACATATTAAATAAAAAAAATGACAAAAAATGTTTGATAAATGTCGAATTTTAGGATATGAGGAGGTGGTGTTGAAAGGACATGTAATAAGGAAATAGTGGGGATGCCCATGTCTTTTATCATTGAATTGCAATCTGATGATTTTGTTTAAAAAGATTCTTAAAAATTGGGCTTCATTTTTCAATAAATTTTCCAATTTTTCAGGTTAGAAGTTCTTATTTTACAGTGAAATTATGATATAACCCTCCTCAATTTTTATGAACTGATTGATTCATGAAGTTGCTTCAAGTATCAATCTTGTAATGCTTTCTGTCAAAAGAGTTAAACTTTAATTATGTCTGTGATTTATTAGTTATTGTATTCAATCATATGAAACATTTATTTCAAGAGTCTTAAGTTTCAAACTGGATGGAAATAAATTATTTGTGTTTCCTTTTTTGTCTAGATTGTGGAAGCAACTCCTTTGCTTGAATCATTTGGAAATGCTAAGACAGTGATGAATGACAACTCTAGTAGATTTGGAAAATACTTGGAGATTTTCTATAACAGGTGTGTGTATTTTATGGGTATGATTATTTTTTATTCAAAGTATTGATATTTTCGAAATTCAATAAAAGAAAAATTTCAATTGGTTTTTGCTTTTGTTGAAGGTCCACGATCTAGAACTGTGATTTTAAAGCCATAATTGTGTTCCTTCAGGTTGTAGAATCTTAGGTTAGATGATGTAATACAGGTATCTGAGTTGGTTTTATTTTGTTTCATTAGTGAAGGGAAAATTGCTGGTGGACGAGTGTCTGAATATTTGTTGGAAAGATCCAGGATTGTTGGACAGGTATCAATGTACAGTCTGAGAGTAATTGCACTTTGTCTCTATTGTAAACTTTTCAGTTTTAAAGGGTTGCTTTTACAAGAGGTATTCTGCAAATGAGCATTTGCACAGTTTCTCTTTCTGTTGCTTTTATAGGCCATTGGTGAAAGGAATTACCACATATTTTATGAGGTTCTTTGTGGATTACCTGAACAGCAGAAGCAAAAATTGAGTTTAACCAGTGCTGCAGACTTCTTTTACCTTAACCAGGTACAATTAACTATGAAGTGTATGTGACTTGTGTTATTCTGGAGTGAATTTACTCTTAGACTATGCTGCACATCTACATACAGTTAAAGTCATGTGATAATTTTCTTTAAGGCCCTTTTCTTTTGCTGATATTTGTAATGTGTACATGTGTGCTCATTTGAATTCATTACAACAGAATGCAGGACTTGACGCGAATGGTAGCCCGCTAGCCACAGACTAAGTAGTAGAAATTCAGTTTTGGCTAGTGATTTTTGATTTCCACTAGCCAGTTTGGCTCGTAAACAAACTGAAATTGTTGTAACATCTAAGATGTTACCAGCCAGTTGGCTAGTAAGTTGAAAAGTTAGTATCGAGCCCTCAGAATGTCAGCCTTAAACTGATAAATGTCAACTTTTCTAGGGTAATGCAAGTGTTATACCAAACAGGAAAGAAGAATCTCACTTTCAACATGTTGTTGAAGCCATGGATATCCTTGGAATATCTGTAAGTTTCAAAACTAAAAAAATAGTGTAAAAAAAATTATTTTCGTTAATAAATTGAAAGTTGGCTCAGACACGTGCATTTATTTTCCCTAGGAAAATGAGAGAGAGGCCATATTTGAAGTTCTGGCAATCATTTTACACCTAGGAAATGTGGACTTTGGAAACACAGAGGTAGTGTAACAGCATTACCACTGAATTGATGGGTTTGACCATTTATGAACAGGCATGTGTTTTTATGAATTCACCTGCTGCATTTCCTTATTTGTTTTGCTAGGCTGGTGGCCAGGAAGCAGCAGTTATTATGGGTCAAAATGAAGCTGCAATTGTGTCTCAGTTATTAGGGCTTGGTACTCAAGATCTGATCGTATGTCTAACCCATAAAGAAACAGTAAGTTGGCAGATGATGACGATTATAAAATTTGATATATAGATATTAAGTACATGTAATGTTATTTATGATTGTAATCTTAACAAAACTTGTTTTTCAGACCAGTCACACAATGCAGGTAAATACACCGTTGCATTCCCACAGTACCAGTACTTTCAAAACTTAGTTCAAAACTTGCTCATAATGCCAACATTCATACCTGGATTTTCTTGTTCACTGTAGGCAGCAGGAAACTCCAAAGTCAAGAGCCCCAGTTCTCCGGATGAAGCTCTAGATGCAAGGTAAGGATCGTTCACTTCCATAGTGGTCTATCAATGTGTCTTGGTTGCATTAGAATCTCAGTGACATTTAAATTAAATGGGGTATTCTCTAAACCAATTAATACCAAAATCATGACAGTGAACACTTTTATCTGCATTTTATAGTAAAAGTAACTAATATTTGTCAACCTAAGGAGAACACCTGTCCTAACTGTCAAGGGAGTTTAAGGATTAATGATGACTTTTTCTCTGTTTGCTGAATTGCGATTTTCACTTTAACTGACAACAGTCCCTGCTCTTGGGATTATAAATTATGCTGTGTTATTGTCTTCAAAGGGATGCACTTGCCAAGGAAATATATACACACCTTTTTGATTGGCTGATAAGCAAAGTGAATAACATTGTATTCAAAGACAAGATGTAGCTGTCTATTGCTGTACTTGACATCTTTGGCTTTGAGGTAAGCTATGCGTCTAAGCTTATTGTGAGTGAGGCCATTCGCTCTTAGTGAACCTCTGGTTATAAGCAGTGTTTTTATTTTTTATCATATTGCCCCTAAGACTAAAGTTCCATGATGACTTCTCTAGAATATTGCACATTTTTCACAGATTTCTCATCTCTATTATTTGCCAAGGGTTAGTCAATTTTACCTGAATTACTTTTAACATTCAATTTTTTTTTTCTCTTTTTAAAGGATTTTGAAAAGAACAGCTTTGAACAGTTGTGCATCAACTTTGCAAATGAAACTCTGCAGTTTTTCTTCAATCAGTTTGTCTTCAGAATGGAACAAGTGAGTTTGGAATTCACGTATTTACAAGGCTGTGCTCTAAGGAAAATTCAATGGAGCCCAGTGCTCTGAAAGTGTGAAATCCAGGGTGCCCACATAACTATGTTTTGTATGAAAAAACTAAATTAAAAATTCATTAGTTGCCCAAAAGCAAAAGCAAGGCACGAGGGGCCACTGGGTGCTGTTACACCAATTTATGAAACAGTCAAGTCCACTTTTTCTTCAAAATTTGTATACATAAAACCTCTGCAGCAAATTTCACATGCTGAAAGATTTTTTTACCTATTGTGAACAATTTCATGGATTAAAATTTGCAATATTATTTTCCTTGATTGTGTGTAGGATGAGTATGCTAGTGAACACATCCGCTGGACAGACATTCCATTTTTTGATAATCAGCCAAGACTGGACCTGTTGGCCAAGCCTCCATACGGGTTGATACACATTCTAGCTGACGCTACTGGCTTTCCCAAGGTCAGTACAGATCCCTTTTCCTATTTTCCCTTTGAAATTTTCTTCAATCAGTAGGATGCAGTTTTAAGTTTTACAAGATATTTCAGTCCATTTTCATGGTTCAGCTTACATGTGACAGAGCCCTTTAGTTAGTTTTTACTCTGTAGGTTAATAGCTATATACTGTATCATTAGTTTTGATGTCAATGTTAATGCCCCAATTGTGTCAACAGGCAGATGATTTGTCATTTTTGGAGAAGTGCCATTATCACCATGGGCAAAACAAATTTTATGAAAAACCAAAAACTCCAAAACCAGAATTTGCAGTTTGTCATTATGCTGGTACTGTCTCATACCAGGTGAGATATCACTGTCGCTAGTTGGTGGTGATTTTATCTAAAAGTATATTTTGCAAGGTACATGACAGGTAATTACTTTTGACCCATTCTTTGTATTTCATTTGGTTTGTTCCAAGGCAAGCAATCATTCCAGGCAATCATTTACACAGTCCCTCTTTTAATAAATCCTGCAAAGTTTTATATATTTATTTATTTACTTTTATCAATTTAAGTCAGTTTTTCTTTCTTTTTTTTTTTGTGTTGAAGGAAGGTTGAGAGAGCGATCTATATTTTAATCAGGAAAGACACGAATTAAACATGAATTACTGTGCCAGTGTTTAATGTCACCCTGGTGTTTTGCTTTCCCCAGAGTAATCAGTTTCTTCCTAACTATTCTTTTGACGTATTTGTAGCTCTATGCTTTTTCTTTTATCATAATTGTTCAGGATTTCATTTCTAATGTATACATAATATATTTTTTTTCCATGACTAATGTAAATTTCGTTTATTCATAATAATTTGTAGTTCAATTCTGTGACTGTGTGTGTGTCCCGACCCTAATATTGTAATTCAGTCTATGTAATTTGGCTTCCTAGCCTTGTTAACCTTCTAGTTATTTGTAATTAGGAGGTCAACACCCTCTTAGTTTTACTGATTTTTTTAATTTGATGTTAATTTAATCTTCTCAAGAATAAGGGTGAATAAAGTTGTTGTTGTTGTTGTTGTTAGGTTATCAATTGAAAGCAATTTGGTCTCAGTGACCAAAATCTAAATCTCTGACAGACAAAATATTTTTACTTGTCAAATGTATTGTTTTACAAATCTATTTACTTTCTATCAAGTCAAAGCACATATTAAGTCACATAATAATGTTTGTAGGTGACTGGCTATCTGGAAAAGAACAGGGATGGTCTCAAACCTGATCTGGAAGATCTCATCTCAAGCTGTCAAAATAAAGTAAGGGCAAAGTTCAAGAAATATATCAACTTTTTGAACAATTTTTTTGTTATGTCTGAGTTAAGAATAGCATCAAAAATTGTCCATCAGGCTTCAAAAGGATATGTATAATGGTGACTTCTTAGGTAAACCAGGCTGCAATGAAAATCATCACCTGGTGGAAGCCACCAAAATATCTTTAATTACTCATAGGCAACACCACTGTCTTATAACTGAGACTATAGTATTATAAATAGTAAATTATTGTTAATTGACTTTTGATTAAATGTCTACAGTTCATTCAGGAGCTATTTCCAGACCTTCAAAGTGAGGAATTTTCAATAAAAGGATTAAAACTTCCTTCTCAACCAAAGAACTCCTTAAGAATGCCATTGGGTCAGAAAAAGAAACCAACAGTTTGTGGAAAATTTAATGACTCCTTGATAAGACTGGTGGTTGCCATGAAGAGGTAGAAGTTCAGCCTTTGTGTTTTTTGTACCTTTGTTATGTAATCACTCCTTAAAAATTGATCTGTTGTACTTAAAAAGTTCTAAGAATTAAAGACTGATGAACTAGTATACTTGTAATTGCTGCCAGGATTTAATCAGAGGATGTGATGTTTCCTCTTTTGTTAGATTTTCTTCTGAGCAAAGTTACAGTAAACTTTAGAAAGTGGCCTCTTTTTGTTGATTGTTGGATCATTCGAACAGTTCTGCCTCTTTTGGAACTTTTCAAAACTTTCCTCCTCTTTTCCAAACTTGTGGAACTTGAATGTAGAATCTAGAATCCAAGGGGTACCTAATGAACTTTACCTATTTCCTTGTCACTGGCATGCATGGCCATACCTATTTCTAAATGCTTTTCCCTTTTTGCAACAATTGCTAATGAACTTCATTGCTCTGTTTTTCTTTCCCTTTAGTTGTAACCCATTCTTTGTGAGATGTATTAAACCAAACAGCACAAAGGTAAACTATTCTCAAGCTTATTTGTGATGGATTTTTCCTTTATCACTGTCTCTCATCCCAACAAAATATTTATGATACTAATTTGTGAACATTGGTATTCCAGGCACCAGGGAAATTTGAAATTCCTCTTGTTGTTGAGCAGCTAAGATATTGTGGGATTGTGGAGACTGACAAGATCCGAAAAGCTGGCTATCCCATCAGATATGGATATGCAGATTTTATTAAAAGGTATGAGCTAGTGCAAGGTACCAGGTAGTATTGATGCAATTAGCCTTCAACTCTTATTAGAAGTGATTAACAGGTAACTTCTCTCCTTTAATACCCTTACACGATCCAGAAAACATGTAATGAGAATATTCAAACTTATCTGGTACAAAATTTGTTACCTAATGAATCTAACATCAAATTCACACGTCTGACTAATTTACAAGAAAATGTGGAGCAGCAAGAGGGGAGAAAGAAAAATACTTCTTCCCCTCCCTCTCCCCAGTTGCCCATTTTTCCACTTAACACCTACTCCCTCGGCAAATATTTCCTCGCCCCAATCCTCCACTGTTACCAAATCTAAGATGGCAGCCTAATACGAAAATGTGCACTCGTGCACCCAAAATATGCCAACACTACTGCAGGCTATTGGATTTGCTTCACTTGTAATTTAATTCACCCCTGATTTCTCGAACTCCAGATTTCTTGAACCAATTTGCATTTCCCCCTGGAGGTTCGAGAAATCTGGATTCTACTGTATTGCCAATTAACATGCTAAATATTGCTTTTGTTGAATCATTGTTAGCGGTCAGCAATTTTTGTTCTTTTTTTTTTGTGATCAAAACGGGGCAAATGTTGTCGAGGTTGTGTGGTTGGAGTATAGTACCGAATCTGATTCTGAATCTGGTTCAAGCAGGAACTGTTAGAAGGGCTTGATACTAACTTTTCAACTTACTAACCAAGTGGCCAGTGACAACTTATATGTTTCAACAATTTCAGTTTGTCTAATAGCCAAACTGGCTAGTGGCAATCAAAAACCACTAGCCAAAACTGAATTTCTACTAATTTGTGGTTAGTTGGCTATTGTTAGTGTCAAGCCCTGATTAGTAATGCCTCATGTGTGACCAACTGCTTAGGACAACTGCTGGAGGTCCCATCTCCTGCAGGGTTGGCGGTAGGAGAGGTTAATTTCCCACGCATGAGATTACTGTGTGATGGATGTCCTCTCCTGGGGNCTGTCTTATATTTGTCCTTGTGCCCTCTTTTATCATGCAGAAATAAATATTTGAAAGCAAGAAAAGGATTCATCCTTCTCCAGGCAATTTATAGGATGCAAAGGCATAGAAGAGTGTTTCTGAAGGTCAGTCACACAGTCATATATTTCAATTTAAGAAAAAAGCAAGCATTTTTCTATCTTGTTCTTTGAATCTTGTTTTGGTATGGTTGAGGCAAGGAGTTGTTTTGGTTGGACATGAATCCATACAGTGTACATATTTTCTACTTCCAGTAACAGTGCAAACATAGATGTACATGTATTGGTTATCAACTTACACTGTATGCAATTTATTTGTAGTTCAGGAAAAAATACTGGGCTTTACATGAGCTATAGTATGTAGACTATACTTGCATAGTAACCTTCATTGCATTGTACATGAAGGAAAAAAGAAAAACATACCATTAATTTTATACAAACTTAAGTAAGAAGCCAAGTTATCTGAACTTTTCTGAGCAGAGTCTAGTTAATATTTCATGCTGATGGAGTTTTCATTTTAGTGAATGTTTTTACATTTTGCACTAACTTGCATTTTCCAGATATCAAAAAATGAAATAACCTGCAGCTGTAGTAATCACACTTTATTTGCCGTGCACACAAGCATGAAAACTGTGTTTAATCTTGAATATTCACTTTTTGTTTAAAAGTAAGCTATTCTAATTTATTTAAAGAGTGTTTATTATATGTAATGAATGCAGTAGTGAATAAATTTTATTGGTAACTTATAAATTTGTAAGATCATCTAAAGTAATACCTAGGCCTGGCATGTAAAATGTGTAACTATTTTAAAAGTACTAAGTCTTGAAAACTGAGATTTACAGCGTGGAATGAAATGAAAAGTTTACATGGATAAAAGAACTTTATCAAAATGTGAAAGCAACATGTTTATAAGTTCATGATGGAGAACATTTTTTTGTTGTTGTATGCAAGTGTATAATTTATCAGTATGCTGTATTTTAAATATTATTTAATAATGTACATTCTTTCAACATTTTATCTGGCTGATCTCTTAGATATTTTAGTGAGATTAATATTCATGTCAACTTTTTTGATACAGTATATGATATGGTTATGTTATATAGAGTATTGTTAGTTGATATCATAACTTGTATCATAGTGTTAAAAGCTTTTTCTTAGCTGATTGGATTCAGTTTAAAACTGCTGTTCCGAAGGTTTTTCCATCTCCAATATTTTCAATCTGGTGTGTACTCATTAATTCTTCTGAGACAATATTGATGAATTATTTATGTCTTAGATGTAGCCAAAAAAAAGTGTCAGAAAATAGTCTATTCAAATCCCATTATTAGAATTTTATGTGGTCTGTGATTACCACATTGTAGACCTTCATGAATTTTTGACATCATATCATGAGACTGCCTTGTGACAAAATGTTTGTCTGGTTTAGTGCAAAAAATTTCAAATTAGTTTAGGTCATCTTTGATCAATAATCTTTGCAATCTGTTTCAACACGCACCTTACTGTATGATTCAAGCTTTAGAGTAAATTTCTTTTTGATGAGGAAAACTATCGCTATCTTGTATTTATTTCAAGTAAATCACTTTGTTTAAATTGCTTTGGACAAGGGTTGCCTTCAGAAATCTCATGTAAGTGTGTTATTAGGAGGAATCATGCCATCATGACATTATGGGTGCATTTATGACCCACACTTGGACTGTTAATCCAGAGCAGGTACATACCGGTACACGTTTTCTTTGATGAATATAATCAATTTATTGTAATCTGAGAGCTCATTTCAGCTTTTGCTGATTATGTGTTTGGGTGATATTTGATTATCATCATCATCATTATTATTATAATAGCAGAGAAATCAACTGAATGCTACATTCTAATCAAGCAGCACAGGGTGAAAACCATAACCTGTGAGCCATGGAGTAAAAAATAAATGTACATTAACTAATCCTAAAAAGCTTTCCTATTGTGTCTACGGTCCTCCTTCTAACAGGAACTCAAACTGCCACCTTGAAAGTCCGGGCAATATTCAGCGTGCCCGAGAGCACTGCCCTTGACATCTTTCGCTTCTGCCTCCCACCAGCTCATGCATCATGACATCCAGCTCCCGTGACTACCCCCCCAAGGGCATCCATTATGATGTTATATTGCTTCACCTCGTAGCCTGAGAACTGCTGCCTTAGTTCCCAGTGAAGGGGTCCGTACTTAAGTACTTAAGTATTATTATTATTATTATTACTATTATTATTATTATGCAGTGTACACGTATAGATGCTTTAATAAATAAAAGAACATAGGGCGTAAAGCGTAGCTTATGTCTTAAGAAACGTACGTCTATACAGATAACTATGTTTATTGTTATTATTATTATTATTATTCCCTTCTCATATATTTTTTTAATGTAATTTACTTTTATAAGGGTAATTTCGATGCACGTTTTTTTTTTTTTTTATTCTTTCAATACGAACTAGTAGTTGCTTTTGCGATTTTTACATGTAGGTCGTTTTTGTTATCAAAGTTAGTTTGGGTCTGATACGAGTCTGATCCTAGAGAACCGAATTTAATAGATGTATTCCATATCAACAAATTTGGAAATGTACGAAGTTATTGTAATGTTTTAAGTTTACTATTATTATTATTATTATTGTTATTATTATTATTACATTATTATTATTACATTATCCAACCTGACATTAACAGTATGCTAAAAATGAAGAATCTGCAAGATCTTAAAGTGTTTTGTTAAGAGGAAACTTCTCATGATAACGAAGTGGTGCACTTATGTGTCGTGGGAAAATTTTTGAGCTGTTGTATAAACTGTTAGTAATGAAACATGTTAATTTTCTGAACACCATTGTTATTTAACTTCTGTAATCAATGACTGTGTTGAGGTCAGACAGTTAAGCTTAAAAATGTCATAATGTAGTGCTAAGTGCTCATAATGAGTACAGTTTCTCAAACTGACTTAACATTATTTTTGGCTTATTATTTTTAATTTAAATATTTTTATGTCTTCACTAGAGGATTAATTGGCCAAAGGGGCACTCTCTTCCTTTTTGAAAGCTGCTCTTCCTATTTTGTCAAAGTTTATTTTTATTAAGAAGTTAAGTAATAATTGAGTACGAAAGGACAGCATTATCTGAGAGAATTTCTGAGAGAAAGATTATGTTGTGGTTAAAAGACATGACCAGAATATTTTAATATACATTTAGTTCGTATTGGCCTTATTTTTGTCTTTTGATAAGGTTCCTCTGATAACACTACTTAAAAATGGTCTACTACATGATTTGAAGCATGTATTCCACTATTGGTCAAATTTTCTGCTAAATTTTGTGTGAATCTTCTTACTAATGATTTCAGATGAGTTTTTAGATGCATTTTCTCTATTCTGCCAAAAGATAGAGTGAAAATGATTATTAATAACTTTTTTGGTAATTATTTGTTATTGTGTAATAGATACAAGAATGTAAAAGGATTATTCAGTGTCCTTGTGTTTACAGTAGCTGACAGCTCCTGCAGATTTTATCGGCAGCTTTCATAAGTTGTGGTTGTTTAATTTTGAATTTATGGAATTTTTTTTAGTTGTCTAGAATAACTATTGAATGGCATGTGGTGTCAGAAATATCACCCTCGCTTAAAACTCAAAATTGTTTGATATTTTACCGTGTGATGTTAAGAGAATAATATTGGCAGGCTGGCTGGCTAACACATGTTTTGAATAAATTTCATGCAGTCGCAAATTGCTTTCAATTAGCATATTAGAGTTAAAATCTATTGTTTCGCATGACTTCATCTGTTGAAATAGCTCTGTATTGTTGTAGATAACCATTAGTGTTTGCTGACGCTCGGCGGAAAGAACTCAAAGTATGCAGGGGCCAGTATGTTATTGAAAGTTCAGGTGATTTTAGGACCAATTTATTGATTATCAGGTGAAAACAAAATTTTTAATTTGTGGTTAAACAAAAGAGGAAATCATACATGAATTCTGAAGTAAGTGAAACAAGTCATATAGTTTTGTGGTAAATGTGTATGATATTAGATCGCGGTAATCTTCAAGTCAATTTTGGAGATGCTGAATATCTTAACTCTATGAATTAAATTCGTAGATGTTAAGCCTTTGTTCTCTAAGCTGAAAAGAAAACGCCATGGGTTTATGCAAAACTATAACAGAATTGAACTATTTGTAAACTGACCTGTTGCCAGTTTCTGGTGGATAATGTAAGCAAACCTTCCCGTAAGACATCTGTAAAGAAGGCATCAAATGCACTTGATGTATTTAACATAAAAACAAATAGCTAGATTTGTCGTCTTTTCGTGTTTAACCTTTATGAAGGAACGGAAAGTGTATTTTACAAGATTCTATTGCTTGCATGTCAGTCCAGTCACGCAGGTCGCAAAATTTGTGTAGAGCATTCTCTCGATTAACAAATGAGTGAGAATTTTTAAATGTTTGTTCTTTTTTCTTTTATTGCTTCTAATAATCATGTTATTAACTGGGCCAAACAGTGTAAAGAGCAGGAATTTTGCGCAATTGATGTCTTGAAGTAAAGTGATGTAAAGGAAATTGAGATTGACGAGTTGTTTCCATTGTAGCGCTTCATCTATGATAGTATGAATTTTCCCGTTCTCTTCTGTGTAACGAGCTAACGTAAACACTTTCACAAATAGTTTCTAGCAGAAATTAGACTTTCATTTCCTTGGAGAACAAATCACGTTTTCATTTTAGTTTCACGCGACGATGCTTGTTTAGACGTAATGCTGTTTCTCTGGTGATTCTCTAAAACTGCCATGTTTACTCCACGTGAACAACGTGTACCATTTCCTTTTAACACTGAGAATGTTTGGATTTCCATATTACGTCTGTTTGGTTACGTCTCTGCAGTCCTGCGTAAAGATTAACCCTAGATGCATTTATTGTGTCGAATTCTTGTTAGTAATTAGCTAGTTAGTGAAATAATCAGTTATTAGATAAACAAGAATCAAATGATAACTTTATTGGAAATCAATCAATACCGTACATTTGTTGTGAATAAGGGCATTGTAAACTCATAATCAAATGTGTTGTTCATCGAGGTTTTGTTGGTAAATGAACGTTTAATCGTTTGTCTTGCGATGGAGAACCAAGCTATCAATTGTATTGATGATGTAAATTGGCCAACGTAACTTGAAGAGTTTGGAGCTTTAGCCCTTCGTCGTTCGCTCCGGCGAAGGGCTAACGCTAGAAATATCAGCTTTTTAACTCTTTACGGTGGCCAGTTTACATTTACATTTTTAACTCAGTCATTGATAACATCAAATTATCTTGTTTTGCTCCCCCACCGACACAGAACCACAGTTTCTTTAAAGACTCTATTAATTGTATTGATCGCGACGTAGTCTTCGAGAACGCGAGACTAATGATTGAATGTTCATTTTTCCATATCATAGCAAGTACTTCTAGAAGTAAACACCTTAGGTTTTCTTCAGAACGCGGGTAGCTAAAGTCAGTGGCGTGCAGCGCAAGGTGCGATGGGAAAGAAAAGAGAACGAGAGGAAGTCCTGCGCTCGATGGCTTTCCATCATCTCTTTCTCTCCCATCTTGCATAGCACTTGATGTTGTAAATAATAACACTCAATTGCGCTGACATCGGGTGATTGTCTGAAAATGTCTCCACAGCTTATTGCAGATTTAGAGTAGGCTTTGTTCTCAAGATTACACCGCACAATAATTCCAACTCCTTTTTGTTTGAAATTGTCCCCCTTTTCTGGCAAAAATAATCTATTGTTAATTATCTCTTGGTTTTTACAGCTGCAGAATGAGAGACGCCAGAAAGAGAAGGCAAGAGACAAGCAGAATGTGTTGAGACCGGCGCTGCCTACCCAGCATGCCCCTCCAGACTCCTCAGCACCTCCAGCTTCAGTAGCTCCTCAAGCTGTGGATACGGTGGATGCAAAACATGTTCCAGAATTGGTGGTTAGTATCACTGTTCTTTTCTGTTTTTATCTTACTCTTGCAAATCTCTGTCTTACTTTAATCGTGTCTGGTTTTTACTCTATATTAAGATTTCTGTCCCTGTTTTTTTCGTCGTCGCAAAGGTACCTTGGAATGTTACCAGGTGGCTCCGTAAAATGACTGACTTTCTGATCAATCGAGTAAGCCACGAACTGGTAGACCACCTGTCATGATGGCCGCAGCATAGGACTGTGGGACAGGGGGAGGGAGGGGTTGTCGGATGGGGTGTCTTTTGTCGTATCCTACGAAGTCTTAAGCCAGCTTAGTTGATGCTCTCTTCGAAATTATTCAATTAATGGCTTTTTGAAAAGGTCATGTACCTTTATGCCAGTGCTAAGAATAATGTCGGACTGCCAACTTCCTAAAATTTGTTTTATTAATTGTGATGACTGCCTCCCATTTAAAGGAAATTGAGAAACAAATCGCAACAGACGTCACTCATCTTGAGATTCCAGCAGATTTGGCTCTGGTGTTTGCCAGTATCCAAGGTTTGTTTGTTGTCCTTGTCCTGATTATCGAATGGCATTAATTTCCTTTTGCTCCGCAAACAACATATTCACTTTATTTCACATACTTGCGAAATTAGGCTGGACCTTGACTCATGGATCCTCAGTTCATGAAAGTAGAGGAGACATAATTAAACACGATTATGCATCGTCAAAGTTACCAGAAAACATCAATGACTTCCCTTTCTCAAAGTTTGCTCAAGAGAACTTTCAGGTAATGTTTTTATTTGTCTTCCTGATTTCTTTTTTAGTTTGCTTTGATTAATTCAGTGTCGATGATTATTGATTTTGTCTTATTTGTTTCAAGTAGTAATATCGTTTTCCTTTTTTTCAATTCTTTAACTATGCTTTTACTTATCAGATTATTACACTTTGAATCTGTTCAGATTTGACTATGTTATTTAGAGTTTTCTAGACACTCTGACATTAAACTAAAAAGGAGTAGATGTGAGCCGAAAGTGAGTTATTTTGGATCGTTTTTTACGCTATTAATATTTTGTATCGTAGAGGATTTTATGGAAATTATTGCTAAATAAAGATTATTATCTATAAATTAGTCAAATTCCAATTTAACGTGGAAAGAGAGGACGTGAAAAGGTACTTAGTGGATGGGCACTCTTTACGAATGGTTGTTTTCATAATCGTTGCTGTCACGTTGTCTTGTTAGAGTGAACATCAATGGCGAATGGTGAGGTCCCCACTGAGAACCAGCTTGTTGCCTGTCAAGTATTCTGACAGTGTCATGGCTATAGGACTCTTCCAGCTGGTAAGAAAATATCTTCGTTTTGTGTTTTTCTGCAAAGTGGATCAAAAAAGCAATAACAGAGTATAATTCCTTATGGTGTTGATCACCACTTATAGAGATATCTATTCTAATTCTCATATCCTTCCGATAAGAAAAACCTTTTCTCCTCATTTCAAATGGCTGGCAGTTAAACTTCTAGAAAGTATGTTCTTACTCAGAACTTGCGTGGCTTCGTGAAAAGATTTTCATCTCTCCTTCTCCTCGAAACGAATAGGACCCTTTTTAATCAAACTTTCTTCACCTGCAAGGGCAAAAACTCAAGAGACGTCTTGTTTTCTTTTACCTGTTGTAGGTCATGCGATTCATGGACGATAACTCTATAACAGATGCAAAAGAATTTACTGTTGGAAATTACCTTGTACAAATGGTAAGTGATTTGCAGCAACATAACTGGTTAAATTGTGAGAGATTTTTCCCAAGAAGCTCAAAGTATTCTTAGGGTTAGAAACTTCAGCCATCAAGAAAGTGCTTCAACACGAGTTAATGCTCTCTTTCAACGTAAAACTCTTTTTGTTTCCTAAATTGTCTATAATCTTTCGTTATTTGTTTAGGGCATTTTTAAACCTGAACTTCGCGAAGAGATGTAATGCCACCTTTGCAACCAGACCTGGGGGAACACTTCCGATACAAGCAACGAACGCGGCTGGCTACTCCTTGCATTGTTCCTCTGCTGTTTTGCCCCGTCTACAAGACTCTACAAGCCTCTACTCAAGTAAGCTAAGGCTCTGTTACAGTGGTATGGTGTTCCTGTTGGTGACTATGTTGGTAGTGCTATTACTGTCCCCAGTTGGTATCCTTGTGTCTTATTGATGTCGTCAAAAGTGTTTCATATTCTTTTACTTTTAACTGGATATGTCAATTTTGGAATTTGCTTGAAACTCGTGTCTTTCTCTCTAACTAACTGCTTTCCTGTTTTTGTCTCAGGTACATTTCTGATCAAGCTTTCAACGGCTATAAAAGTTATTGTCAACATAAGTTGTTGTGTTGGGATATGAATGGGTCTCCTGTAGCTCGGTCGCATCCGCCTTCCGCGTTAGAGTGGCAAGCGGCAAAGATGAGAGTCAACATGGCTGCCGAGTGCCATTTTCCTGACGGTATGAAACATTTCGCTGCTAGCTGCAGTATTTTGAAAGCAGTGCAGTAAAAAAGATGATGCTTATGCTATCAAGTTTCCTTAGTAGTTCAGTTACAAAAATATGAACATTTTGACCTTCTCGAGGGGGGAACTTGTTGGTATTTATAGCATGTGAAGGACTTTTTACTGCGTCAATTAGGAATGGCTTCAGGGAAATTCTACTCCGCAAGTGTTGTTGATTAGTAATCCCGACTGATGAATTATAGCAAACAAGTTCTACTTTTAAGTAGCGCTTTTACTAAGCAGAACTTTCTTGTGTTAATACGTTTTATGAGAAGAGAGGATAAAGTAATGGAAGGGTACATTCTTTTGTCTCGTTATCATCGAATATGAAGGAATTAAAACGGAGAAATGTTTCATCCTCCTTTTCTAGGAGAAAGGAGGACGACAGAAGTTGAATCTTGCACAACTGGAGAAGATGTTGCAAAATCGATACTAGAAGACAGGTTAGCCAGGTTGAATTCAGTATTTTAAACTCGACCATATGTCGCTCGTTGCTCGTTTGTGGATTGAGCGAGCATTTAATATCCTCAGCTCTCTTCTCGCAACTTACTTTAATGAAAGTTCAGTTAGCGAAGTTGGTCATTTGCAACTTATCTTTTAACCATCCTTGATTGGTACTTTTCCTTTGGAAAAAAGATAGAAAGAAAAGTATGAGCGAAATATCGTGAATCCAGTGTGTTGATGCGATTTCCCGCTGTGTTTCTCAGAGGGATTGAAGATGCGAAGGGTTGGACTGTTGATTTGGAGACAGGCAACTGGCATTGTACCCTGGCAGGCAAGGATTATATTCTTGATCTCGTTTCCGAACTGGAATACCCACCTGCCTTTCCTTTGTCTCGATCATCTTCGCTACTAACTGTGAAGCCAGGCTGCAATATTCCTCCAGGTCAGCTGGAGACATTGTCCAAGTAAGTAGCAATCATATGCTTATATTTTTCAATTGCAGTTGCAAACTCAATTCTCTTTGTGTTATTCTTTCCTTTCTTTCCTTTCTTTCCTTTCTTTCCTTTCTTTGCCCTTTTTTTACCCTTTGTGTATTTGTTGACCTGATATTTGGAGGTGGGATTTTTTTTTTGTATGGGTCCCACTAAAGTCCGTCCGTCCGTGCTTCCGTTCGTACGATCTCTCTATTTCTATTGTTTTTTGGTCCATTCGTTTGCGCGTGTACATATATTCAGTCATGCACATTGTTGCGCTGTCTTATTCTTTTCCATCTCTTACAAAACTTAACCTTTTTTCTCTGCCCGACCGTGATTGTCTGTGTTTTCTCCACAGCCTTCACATGCCGCAAGCTCGTGGAAGAAGCGTCGCAGAAATTGCCCACAAATTCACTACTGTTGAGCAGCAGCCACCCTCCGAGCCAGTACACACACAACGAGAAGATGCGTTGAGTGCAGCTACATCAGCAAGGATTGCAAGTGCTAATTACCACGGACCGGTAGAAGACAACCTTGTTCAAAGGACGAGATTAGGAAGCAGCTCTCTTCGTGTGGAATCAGCCCCACCCCCTCCCCCTCCAAATGCGTTCGTACCAC